GGGCTTAGTTTAAAGCCCGGTGGAGTAGGTCAGCCAGTCTGGCTGAGAAGAGCCTCCTCCGTAGGGGAGAGAGGTGGAGGCCATCTCTTCCCAGCAGCTCACTGCCTCTCTCACCAAAGAGCGGGCTGTGGTCATGAAAGCCAAAGCCTTCCTGACGACACCAGCGCTGCAGTCTTTGGTTGACCACATAGATCCTCCTGTCCCTTCTCAGCCCATAGCCTGAGACTGGGAGGATCGACGAGAACACCACCTGTGCCCCCAGACCCTTAAGCCCCGCTCCCAAATCCCTGTAGCGCCTCATGACCTGGCTGGGAGTGCTCCGAGCAGTGTCATTGGTGCCCACATGAATAAGGAGCATGGGATAGTGGTCTGTGGGTTTAAGGAGCTTTGGGATCCTCTCCGTAATGTCCCAGAGTTTTCAGAGTAATAACAGGTAATTCTTTTGCTGCAAAGAACTTAAAAAGACCACAGCAGGGCAAACTGTTTATGACATTGTGGATTCCTATTGGAAATCTCTAGGTTAATCTAGTGAATTGTGTGTCCATATTTGCATACCTGACCATATTAATATTGAGGCGTCTTTAAAAAGATCTCAAGGCACCTGGCTAAGAAGCACTGCATTTAGAGGATGACGTCCATGGAGTTGGTGGTGCTGCCAGAGCTTTTGATGCTACAATGTTTGCCTTTCACAAGAAACCCCGAGCAAGGCCAAATTCTGCCTTACAAGTTCCCCACTACTCCCAGAAACGGGCCACAGTGTGCCATCCTAGGTTGGGCAGCAGATGCCAAGACAGACAGAGGGGAGGCAGCATTATAGGCCTGAAGGGGCATCTGGACTCCTGAAGTCATTGTCTGTGGGTCCAGAGCTTCCACTGACTCCGAGGTGACCAGGCTGTGTGTGTTGAGCCACTCCTGTGCCCTTTGGGGCTGCTGGGTTCCATTGCCAGAATTGGGGCCTAGGGCTACGCCCTGCACCCAGCACCTGAGCTGGAGAAGGAGCTGTAATGGTGAATATCTCTGAGGCAGCAGATACATGGTATATGTTTACAAATGGAGCTGGGACACAGCTTCCCCATCCTACCCACACCCAGAACTTGAGGTGGCCCGGGGAGAAAGCCTAGTGTGCTGCTGCCCCAGCTCTGGCTGCAGAGAATAAGGCTGAGCCAGCAAGAGGCTGCGCTGGCTTGAGCTCGGAAGTACCTTGAGCAGCAGCAGCATCTTTTGTTCTAGCTCCAGTTCACCCCACAATGACAGATATTGGGCCAGGCCCGGCCCCGCAGCAGGCAAGTGCCCCTTGCCTCCAAGTGAGCACTATTTGCTTTTAAAGGTATCAAATTTAGGCGTGAATAACCTAAAATTGCCATTTTTATGTTGCATTAAGGGAATGCATGTGTAGACACATGCACTTAATGAACCTTAAATTGAGCTAAAGTACCTTAAATTGGCATGTGTAGATGCGCCCAGTGTGTCATGCCTTACTTCTCCAATGCTAGAAATACTAACTGATCCCTGGCATTCCTGATGCAGCATATCTTTCTCTCTCAAAAGTCCTCATCCTGAAAGCTGGTGATCCAGTGGGGACCAGGTAGTCCAAGATCACTTGTCTGGGATGGGGGATAAGAAGGCAATCTGTATGAACCAAGGCTTCTCTTAGATAGAAGGTCCAGGAGAAAACTGGATCATCTGAACAATAGGAGGTTGCATTTCTGGTGCTGTACTGGAATAAGAGGAGTTGACAAGGGAAAAGTTGTATTTGGGAAATGTATTGAAATGTATAAGAAGGATGGTAGATGAAATTGCTTGGTATTCTTGTCTTAAGCTGTCCTTGTATTATGTGAGTAAATAACTAATTGTAGTAAGTGTGGATCAAAGATACTAATATATATATTCATAGCATTTCAGTGAATACAGTAACCTTTTCTTTTAAAGGTAAAGGGCAGATTCTGGCTGCTACAGTCAGCAATGTATTATATTGATTGTCATTGTTCTTTTTGGCCAGTGCAGATTTCCTGCAGTTAAACTGCTATGGAAATGAAATTTTACATTCTTCTCTGCTACATAAGCTTATAAGAAACCTTTTGTCATTATTGCTGTTCATCACAGGGCCATGTCTAGACTGACATGGACAGTGAGCAAGTCATCGTCCCATAAATTGTTTTGCAGGTCTCAGCCTTCAACATGTAATCTGGTTTTATTTGTGTAACTACAGTTAGGGCTAAGAAGAACACAGCTGTGTGTGATATATATGGAAAGCACATTAATGGCTTAACATGAGAAGGAGGATGGACCAGCAGGAGGTTGCATCAAATCCATGATAGAGCACCATGTTCTACTGCAAGGAAATTTCAAATGAAAAGATAGCTGCTGTCTAATTCAGCGAGTGTGGAAAGGAACATTTTTAGACCAGCAAAACTGTTGTTAAAGGAAAAATGAAATGTAACATAAAAGAGTTTATTCTTAATTCCAAAGAAAAATAAATTGCTTATGGGGAACCCTACCCCTTAAAATATTTCATAAATCCTCAATTCATATTTGTGTGTCATATGTCAGCTGGGCCAGTGTTCAAATTACACTTTGACTCTGGGGGGGGGGGGTCCTGCAAAAAAAATTGGGCTGCCCATCACAATGTCCTAATAAAATCGGAGACCCTCCCAGGTTATGATTTTCAAATCTTACAGGGGAGGCTCTTGTCTCTTATGGCAGGGCTCAGCCCCCCTGACTAACCCCATAATTTGAACCCTGCCCTCCCCATTACCTTTCCTTCTAACAGGAAGCTCAGTTCTTTCCCACTAATTCATGAGGAAATGTTATTGTCCAGCAAGGTGAAGCAAAAGTGGAAATACTGTGTCCAGTCTGGCATTTCAGCGCACCTGCATTTGATAACCCAGCCCATTTCCAAGAGCTCCACTTAAATTTAGATACCTGGGCTCTGAGTCAGGAAAGCAACCTTATTCAGTACAACACTTTTAACAATGTGCTAAAAGCAAAGCAGAATCCTAAATATTGTCTTGAATGGGAACAGACTGGCATGCTTGATTAACTGCTGTTCTGAATTGGGATTCCAGAAGAGGGATAAATATTCAGAAAAACTTGGCACTCCAACACACTTTTGAAAATGTGGACCCTCAACTTCAGTTTCTAGCTAGCAAATGCAGCCTGGAAATTCACCTCTAGTACAGGCCTAAAGTGAAAATTAACTGTTCAGAAAGTGAAATTTTTCATGTCCCATTCTATCTGGAAAGCTGTGGGTGCTGTGAATACTGTTGGTGTCTCTCACCTTTTTGCTTTGGTTGCTCTTTTCCTTCTGCAGTCTCATGATCCTTTGCTCTGTCCTGATACTTCTAATGCAAGTACTATGTTCTTCCCAGGTAAATAGACAAATCGTACAAGGAGGATTTGATTAAGCATTGTATGGGTGATTAAAATGAAATAGGTATACCTGTGTTTTATTTTAACCCTCAAGTGTGTCAAATATAAGACACTGTCATAAACTCCTAAATGAACTTGTTCAATCGGTGTGAAAGACCAAATCCTCCTTCTGTGTGTAAAGGATTGGAAACGATGTTTTCTGGGTTATTTGCCAATAGCAAGTCAAATATTTTTTCCCCAAAGGTTTTAAATGGAATTAACACATTTGTTAACTTGAATAGCATTTTACTAGGTACAGATAAATGGAGCAGTTAAGATGCACAGAGAGAGAGTGTGACTCTCTCTCTCAGGGCTCATTTTATTTTGAAAAGTCAGCCCTGCTTTGGAAAGGGTTACTGTATGTATTAGCAACATACCAAAGGAGTTTGTTTAGCCTGAAGGTATTTCTGAGTTGTAAAGCAGGGTGACGAAACTACCCTAACTAATTCAGAACTGGGAGTGATGATGCTAATCGTTAATGCCACCAAGTGGTAGCTGTTGCATAACAGGAGGTGGGGAGGCTGGTTTCTGGGGCGATGTTATTATGCAGGACACACACTCTGTAACTTCTTGGGTACATCTTCGGAAAAGCTTGTAAGAAGTTCCTGCTAATTCATGAAAAGATGTTAATGACTTAAGTTCCAGGTCACATGACTCTTCCAGATTGCCAGTACCCGACTCCTGGAATCAGATTTCAGCTGCAGGGAACTGCTCCCAGCCATGTGTACAGAGTCTTAAGAAGAAAGAAATGACTTCCTGGGATTTTCATCCAAGAAAATAGGAATTCCTTAGCAGCTTTGGACCTTTCTCTGGATTTTTGTGTTTTCCTAAACTGTAAAGCTTTCATGCATAGACTCTTAGTAGCCTTCAGTATTCTGTTTAATACTTTCATCCCATCTTCATCAGTTCTTCCAGACACTTCCTGAAAGAATGGGGGCAGGAGCATTAGCCATCTGTGTGAGTACAGACTCTCTGTTGTGTGCTGTGATTACTCTGAGTGTGCATAAGGAGGCCTCTGCCGTCCACTAGTTTATTAAAACCGTATAAACTTGGTAGTGCATGAATATGTAGGGGGAAGTGTTAGATAAGATCAGCATTTGGGGTTGGCTGACTTCTAACTTCAGCTTAAAAAACTAAACTAGCCAATCAGTATGGATCTGTTTAAAATGTCATGTTAATGATTTGTCAAAAATGTGCGTCTGTACCAAGGAGTGGCTACTAATGTCATTCAGGGACAAGTGAATATTTTCTAAGTTATCTCTCTTGGTACTGCTCTAGACTAAAATATAGACTTATTTTTATACTGTTTTCTGTTAAATATTTAACAGCAGGGTTGTTACAGTAGGGAATTCAGTGCAGGTATAAAACAGAGAGGGTTTGGTTGGTTCATTAAACTAAAATGTACAATTGGCATTTCTTTCTTTTCTGGGGAGGGGGTCTTTTGAGCCTACCACTTTCCTTCTGCTTTTTGATGTGGAAACAGCTTACAAGAATAACTTTGTCTAGCAATGGTGGAATTGGTTGGCAACCCTTTTAGCCACAGACTGACTGTGACATGGAGTTTGTAATTATGATTTTTAGATAAATTAGAAAACCACCGCTCTGAAAGTGTGACTTCTAAAAATGCACACTCCTGTTTGTTTGGTGTTGTTGAAATTTAGAATATTATTAAGCAAAAAAAAATGGTTAAGTAACCATTCACTTACCTCTGTATGAAACAGCAACTGCTCACAGGAAACAATAATTGAAGTATAGCAATTATAATAAGATTTTGATTAATGGTTTTCCCCAGTTGAGCATAGATAGGTTTAAACCGGTTCCTTAAAAATTGCTTTAGCAAATGGCTTCATGCTGATAACTTAACATTGTTTTTCTTTGTTACAGGCAAGATATCTTTTTATAGTTCACATATTGTTTATAAATCTTTGTTTAAAGCCAAAGTATCTTCTGTAATTCCAAGCCCAATTTATAACATTGTATTCCTCTAGCCTCTGCTGAAGGCCAGGAATAGGAGATCAGGGTGTCTGTCTGGCTCTTTAACTGACTGACACAACGAAGGTGAACAAGTGGCTTCCACTCTCTGTGCCTCAGTTTCCCCACTGTAAAATCAAGCCAGGATCCTGTTTTTCAGTCTTCCAGTGCCTTTGTAAACCTAAGCACACACTGGGTGTTTCAGCATGCTAAGCACATGCTGGTCTTCTAGGAAAGTATGTTGAGAGTCTCTATAGGAAGAGGCAAAATAATATATATTTTTTTTATTCTTAGTTTGACTCATTTAACCTAATATCTATCTATCTACCTATCTATCTATCTAGCTATCTATTGGTATAATACCTTGATATTATACTGTATGATATTACATATTAGTATAAGGTGATGGCAATATATATCTAATGCTAAAATAAATTACTATGTTTTTAATTATAGCCAATATTATTTAATACTCCTAAATAATACATGAAGAAATAAATGCTCTAGCTCACTTGACCTAACTTTTGCTTTCATGCACAGCCTTCCAAAGTGAAAATTATTTATATTATTCACATAACCCTAATGAAATGTATTTTTAAAGTCATATTAGTAACAGTCAGTGGAAGGCAGAGTTTGAACACTGACAGTACTTACTAATTATTTATCATATGTTTATACTATTTTTAATTATCTGGTCTATTGTCATGGCTGAAATTCTATGTTAAAGTTTTTGACTGCCTTAGCTACAAAGGTAATATCCAACAAATGTGGCATATAAAAGTCATTTACATACAAGGTAGCATGAAAATATCTACTTCTGCTGTCAAATAGCTCATTAAAAGACATCTTTTCCCTCAAAGATGCTGTTTTTATCAGAAAGGATGCAGCAGTCTGGGTAAAATGAACTGCATTTTTTTATCTGTCACCCAGAACAAGGATAGTCAGGCTCAATAGACAAAATGTGTGCAGCTTTCAAGTTAGGTAGTTAATTGAGTTGAAATGGCATGTTTCATGTGGAGAGAGAGAAATTTTAAAAGAAATGCTACTATTTTAAAACCAAAAGAAAAAATACAAATACAATGAAATAACTGTGTCCCTGTGTGTTTTCACCCACAAAATACAAGCAAAAATCTCTGCCAGAAGGACTATTGCAGCTTAGAGCAAGTATTTTTTTACCTGCTTATTAGCAATATGTTCCAGCTGTCAAGTGAAATGGTTTTGGTGAACATTATCCTGCTCAGCCATAATAATGAAACCATGCTATTGTGAACTTCCACACACACACATATGTGACATTTGGTGGGGTAATATACTTCTCTGTCTTCTCTTAGCAACTCTTCTTATACGTGTAGCTCTTCAGTTCCACACAGCCATGCTCTGATTTAGATTTATACCCTGAGGAATACATAATTTATTGTGGTATATTGCATTAGGATTTACTGTTCCTTGCTTGAAATGTTTAAAGTCAGAACTGGATGTTTTTTCCCAAAGACAAAAGTTATGGACTTTGACCCAATTATGAGCTTATTGGGTAAAGTTCTTTTTTCAGTAACAGGCCCTTCTGGCCTTAAAAATTAAGAGTCCATGTTGATAGTTTATTGTGTAGGTACTGTACACAGTCATTTATGAGTCCCGCCCATTAGTTACTGTAGCAATGGGGTTTGAATACAGACTGTGGTGTGTCTGTCCATGCTCTCTCTTAGCTACAGATAAGTTATGGTTTGGGGCCCTTCCTCCTCCTTTTCCCACTTTTTGCTATTGAGCTTTTCTCCACTCAGTTCCAAGGAACTGCTTCATAGAGATTTTGCTAAGGATTAGTTATTCAAACAAACCCACACACTGCAGACTCTTCTATCTCAAAACATACAAGCTCAGGTTTTTAATTGACATTCTCAAGCTGTAACCATGCAACCTCCTATAGTAAATGTGACCGACTGCTCTCTTTTCCTGTGCTCCTTTAAGCAAAGTAAGTCAGCAGTGAGGCTGAAAGAAGACATGAAAAAGATTGCAGCACTGCCACTGAACAAGCAGAGGGATGCTAGCTGCCAGAAGGTGTTTGGTGTGAGTCTCCAGGAACTTCAGCAGCAAGGACTTAGCAAGAATGGCATCCCAACTGTGGTGTGGAATCTAGTAGAATATTTGACCCAGCATGGTAAGCTGAAAGCCATCTTTTTCACTTAACAGTGCTGGTTGTGAATGTCTCTTCAAAGGGAGGGTCTTCGATTCGTCCCTAGTAGAGAAGCTAAACAAAGTTGTGGCCAACACCCCCCCACCCCGGTCCTTTCCCCACGCTGGCTTTTTGTTTGGCTGGCTTTGTGGCAGGCTGCAAAGGGCATTTACGTTCATAATTTGCTGCATTATGAAGTTGCATTTTTGATCATTTAAGATGTTGTTACCTCCAGCTTTGCATATTTGCTGTTTCTCAAATGTGTGTGTGTGTGTACACACACATATAATAGTGCAGGGGCAGATCAGCAGAGGGGTAGGGGACAGGCGTGCAGTGGTGTACTTGCTGTATCCAAAGTTTAAAACCAACTGTCTAGCAGTGGCAACAGCATTTCTAGTCAGGCAGTGCTGAGGGAACCAGTTTATTTTTAACTGGAGAAAATTATGTGTTGTTTTATATGTGATTATGCACCTCACCAACTGCACCCCGTTTTCAAAATTCTAGGTCCTCCTGTGTGCAGGGGTGTGAAAGGAATGGCCCCTGGGCTGTCATTTGGCCCACAAGGCTCCTGGAGGGAACATGAATTTGGGGGTCAGGGTGAAGGAGATAGGGCTGCTGAATTCCAGCGTACAGAGCCCCATTGAGGATGTACATTAGCAGCAGAGGGGTAAGCAACACATATGACTCAGGTTCAAGCACCTGCAGCAGTTATCACAGCTCGCCCTACTGCCCAAAGCAAGTACAGATCTGGCCCACAAGAGCGACAATGGTCTGGATCCAGTCCAGGGGGCCACAGGAGTGTGACACCACTGTAATAGTGCACCTATATTAACCTATAAGGTTCAGAGGAAGCTTTTTATGTTTATTAACTAACACTAGAAGGTAAGTCTCTAAATTCCCAGCCTTGCCACGCTTGTATTTAATACGTAGAATAGAATGGGATTCATTCTTTGTTGCTATTCATTCCTTTGCAGAGAGCTAGCATGGGGCCTCTACACCTTTGTTACACATACATGGTATATATTGGCCTGTACATTACACCATGACCATAAAAGAGGAATTTTCACTCTATGAATAGTGGCATTTGTTTTATTCTAGCAACAGGGTGGAACAATGTTCCTTTTAAGGTGCCTTTTCTAAGCTCTGTACTGCTCATTACAGGGCATGTCTACATACATAATTAATTTGAAGCAATAAACTCCAGAGCAGTTTAAGCCAGTGTAAACTACTCCCAGCCACAGCATCTACATGTGTGCCTGAGACAGAAGCAATATGAGCCAGGGTAGAGCAGTTAACACCAGGGCCAATCCAGCCTGGCTCTGCCTCAGGCTCCAGGTGGGCAGCAAAGGAGCTGACTGGAGCACAGCACAAGGATGCTGAAGTGAGGCGCTGTGTGGCTAGACAGCTGGCAGGAATCTGACCCCCTGTTGGCTGGACTGACCAGGTGTAATTTATACCCATGGTCAGCATCTACACATGTGTTTAATCACAGTTAATTACTCTGCAATCAGATAGTACTGTTCCCAATAGGGGTAGAGGGAACAGTACTATCTTATGGTGCTGTTAATTAGTTTACTGAGGCCTAATACCATCTCAAGTATAGAGGTTGACACTTTGGTCTGCAAATAATTAGTCTGCTCTACAGTAAAGTGCATGTGTAGATGCAGCCACATTACAGTACTTTACATTCTCTCCTGACATCTTGACAAAACAAGCATCCTTTCCAATCTGATCTCAAAAAAAAAAGTTCAAAGTGAACATGGATCAAGGTAGGATATAAATTGGAAGGCCAGTATGTATTCCTGAATACTTTCACCTAGGGGAACTCGTATTCCAGAAAGAGAATGTCTTGTTTGTTTAGTTTAATCCCCTTTTAGAGTGTCCAAGTGGTACAGCAGGAGAGCAAAGGTGAGGAGAACTGATGAAAGCAGTTTCTGCCAAATTTAAGGTTTAAGCAAAAAGCCCCAAACCCTGGTCTAGACCTTTATGACTGGAAAGACATGGTTCCAAATGTGAATCACAGCAGTGTTGTTGTAAGCTGGAACCAGTTCTGATAACCTTCATCATACTGAGGAGTATATTAAGATGTTGGGAACTAAGCAACTAATGGTTAAGGAGAAAACATCTTCAAGCTATTTTACTGGTGCATGGTTAATAGAGTATAAGCTGTGCATTGTGCATGCCTTAAGAAACCCCAATACCTCCTGCCAAATGTGGGCTGGATGGAGGAGGCAGGGCAGGTTCCTCTAGTCTGGTGGAACATTAAATGCTTTCTAAATGAAGGAGGTAGTGATGCTATAGCCATGATGGTCCAGGAAATAAGTGAGAGTCCAAGATTTTTGTCGGTGATATCTTTTATTGAACCAACTCTGTGCTTGGGATAGACTTTGATAAGCTTTCTAATGCAAATCATTCTTCTTCAGGTCTGAGCCTTAACTGTCAACATTTAGGACAGTGTGTGTTGTCCTAAATGAAGGAAGTTAAGACACCTTGCCAGACGATGCAGGTCACCTATGTCCAGCTCAGCTTTCTCAGACAGGCACTCAGTTCAACATGAGCCAGGAGAGGGATTCTGTCTGCATCTAAGTTCAGGTGTTTGCAGTGCCTGTTTCAGAGTCTGAGTTTCCAAATGGCTCTGAATCAGTAATTAGTCTCATGAAGAGGGCAGTGTAAGAGATATAATCCTCCCCCCACCCCACTGTCAAAGTGCAAACAAGATCCAAAAGATGTGCACATATCTGAAGAAAGCCTAGGACACTCTTGCTTTTCAAAGCAGACATGAGCTAACCTGGAAATCAGTTGGTTTTATTTTTTTGAGAGGATATCAAAGCGCATTTTGAGGACTAACTCTTGCACAACCTCAGATGTGAACTTGGTTAATTTGGTGATATGGCACAGTTCCCTCTGCATGAGAATAATTACCAATTCAGGGCCATCCTGAATTGCAGACTTTGAGTTGGCAGTTTTATGGCAAGGAGGCAAGGATGTTTGTTTGGGGCTTTTTACTCTGCTAAAGTTAGAACTTTCCTAGGATTTTTGCAAAATCTTAATTTGAGCCTCTCCCAGAAGTGACTTTTTTGGGGGAAATCAAATGGTGATAAAGGATGCATTATTGTGTGTAGAATATGTAACTTCCCCTGACTTCTAAGATAGCAATAGATTTTGATAAGCAGTGTTTCCCATTGCCCAGCAGATGTCAGAGTAACATTTTATATAGTGATATTGCTGTCTATAAGAGGTATGCGCTTCAAGTCAAACCTGGCTGTTTTATGATGTCTGTTTCTGTTACATGCTGCATTTTGTAACCCCTTTTTATTGTGCTACCACCAAAGGATAAGTAATTCTACAGAGATGGTGTACAAGACTGAAATTTGGTTGCTGATATCTTTATTACAGTATTCTGCTTTTCATTTTCATGGAGTTGCTCTTTTTCAGCATGTGAAATTGGGGGCGGATCCAGGACTTCCCACAGCAAAGTGCAGGAGCAGCAACTCACCCAGTAAGGGTGGTTGCATCCCTAGCTCCCTGCTTTCTTCCCCACCAATACAAGCGCACTGCCCTCAAGAGACTTAGGGGACTTTTTAAAGTCCCTAAAGCAGGTGAAAATCCCCACTCTCCTTCCTCCCTCCCCTGCTTGCCACTATTGCTGTTTCTGGAGCTGGGAGAGCACCAGAGCTGTTCCTACCCACCCCAGCCGGGCTGTGCTGAGGCTGGGCTCATTTGGGACTGGGGACAGTAGGAACAGCAGTGCAGGAGTGTACTTCCCACCTCCCTCCCATGCTCCCACCCATCCCCACTGCCACTTTCCCCAGCCCCAGCTGAGCCCAGCTCACATGCAGCCTGGCTGGGGAAGACAAACAAGCTGGTGCTTCCTCCAGAGGGAGGAAAACTACAGCAGCAGGTAGGGAAGAGGGAGAAAAGGTGAAGGGGATTTTTCACTTCCTTTAAATGCTTAAAAAAGACCTCAAGGGTTCCTTTGATGCGGTCCAATCCAAAAGCAGGGTGCAGGCCTACCACTGCATCCCTTCTGAATCTGCTCCTGTGTGAAATCTAGGCATGCACTGAAATGGAGTTGACTTTAAACATGATGCGATTCATCTGGATTCTTTTGTGGAATATGTGGAAGATTTCCTTCTCCCATAACTTTAGTTTGGGCTGTATAGCCTGCTATAAAAACTCCACAGCCCACCTGTGCCACAGCAACTGCCCAGCCCCACCTGCACCGCCCCAGGGCCCCACTCACCTGAGCAGCAGCAGCAGCAGCATGTCACCTCACCCACCCAACTCCAGCACACCCTGCAAGATGGAAGCTGTGGGGTAGGCCTGTCCCTGCCCCTTCCTTGGGACTTGCCTCAGCCCTCAGGGGGCTGAGGCAGCTCCTCCCCATGCTGGGCCAGGGTGAGCAGACCCCCCTAAAACCTGCTCGCGGCACCCTAGGGGGCCACGGACCCCCAGTTGAAAACCGCTGTTATAAGCCACATACAATACAAAAGTATGCATTGTATCCTTCGATTTTTTACTATAGTTAGTTACACAGAGTTTTGCTGTTCACAGTAGAGTTACTGCTGCAGTTAATTGTCTAATGTACAAAGGTTTCTCTTTTGTTTTTTGGTAAATGTCTTTAGTAGGACATTTAAGGGCCCAATTAAGAAGTGGCCATCTTTCTATAAGTAGTGGCTTTGATGGCAATAAGACCATTCTGTGAGCAGAGGTACTTGCTTAGATGCTTTCCACGTCAGCGTCTAATGGTGCAGCTACTGAAGCCTACAGAAGTAAGATTCCACCACTTGAGCTCAATCCTGAGTGCTGCTGCGTGGTCACGGGTTCCATCAAAGTCACTAAGATTCATGAGTACTTGAAAGAGTTCTAATAAGCCTCAAGATCTAGTCCTTAATGTTCATTATTAGGTCATCTAGTAAATTCACTAAGGTGTGTGTGATGTATACTGTGTGTTGGTCTCTTGCACCAAGGTGCCTCTGTCAGCAGTGTGTGTTATTTCAAAGCCAAGTGTTTGTTACTTGGTTTTTCTCATGTGCGATATATAATTGCAGGACTGACCCAGGAAGGTCTCTTCAGGGTAAATGGTAATGTGAAAACGGTGGAGCAGCTGCGTCTGAAATACGAGCATGGAGAAGATGTGGAGCTGGCTAAAGATGGGGATGTGTGCTCAGCAGCCAGTCTGCTGAAATTATTTCTGAGAGAATTGCCAGAGGGTGTCATCACCTCAGCCTTACATCCCCGACTCATTCAGCTTTACCAGGGTGAGTGAAAATCACCCCCTTAGTGTCCTTATATGTGTTTTCTTTTCTGAAGAACAAGAATTGCAGTCCCTACCTGTTCTGCACAGCCTTTCTTGTGTATATCATCCTGTCACTCTTGTGTTTCCCTTGCTGCCACTATTCCCTACCTGCTCCCCAAATGCTCTGAGAATCACAATTATGGCAATTTCAGTAGAAAGCATAGGTTTCTAAAAGAGCATCAATACATGTTTAGATGAAGAATGAGTTCTTCCATGAATAGTAAAACATTTCATGTTTGTGGCTTCTATAATCCTTTTATAATCTAGGCACTTCAGCCTGAACGGTCAAGTTTAAGTGTTCTCACAGACTGAATGACAGGCAATCAGAGAGAGATTTTTCAGAGCAAAGTTTTGCTGCTGCTCTGATAGTGCAGGCTTTTATAAAGTCATGCTGGTGGATTCTGGGAAAGGAAAGTTGATGCTGATCCCCAATTTGCTAATCAAAGTAATTATAATTTGGGGGTTCAGATATACCTTATCTCACGTTAACTATTAAGAAGTGATTCCATATCAAAATTATTCAGTTTAGAGATTAAAAACAAAAACTTTCCCATTTTTACTAACCTTTCCAGCTCAGCCTGGGAGATGATAGTCATGGCTTATACATCACCATCAATTCTAAATATTCTGAAGGTGGAAATTTCATTTAATCCTGTTTAATGATGTACAGGAGACCCTTGCCATTTGCGGGGGATACGTTCTAGAGTGTTACCAGATTTGCCCATCACTTTGGGGTGTGCTCATTTATTAGAGATACATTTCTAGGGTCTTGGTAATTCTATCAATGCGCTGCTTGTGTTGCTATATGGAGCTGTATATCTCCGTTCTGCAAGTCCTTACTCCCAATGGAGCTATCTTGCAGGACTCAGTTTCAATGGGGCTGGGTTCCTCCAGTCACCAAATCAGTCATACACACACAAACACACACAGATTAATGTGACATGCCTAACCCGGCCAGGTTGATCAGCATGGACAGGGTGACACTCTCATATGCCAAGAATCAATTCATCAGAGCAACAATAAACTGCAGTCAGACACAAGCACACAGGTAAACAGACTACCTCTGAATCTGGCTGGGTGTCCAGCTGACACCCTCATGGGCCAGCATTCAGTTCATAAGGGCACGTCTGAGTCAAACTGGGTCAATCAGCCTGTACAAGCTGATCCCTTTATGTGTTTCAAACTCGGCACGTCCCAATCTTTGGCCTCTTGATGAGCAGACCCCACAGTATTTTTGGGCTTCACCGGGATCTTTAGCTTGGGTAAAAGAAGCATTGCTGCAGAGCACGGGAGGAAAGAGAAGCAGAGAAGGAAAAA